TATATATATATATATATATATATATATATAAATATGTATGAGTTTCGGATAGACAGATATAACATTATAGTCAATCATCATCACTATTATCATCACACTAATCATCAACAATGGAACAAACGAATTGAGATATATAATCATAGTCTGCTTCCCTACCGGGTGGCCTATTTGGACCCTGTAGAGCTTGTGTTGTTTGGCGCCACGTAGAATTGGCGCTGGTCGCAGCAGCGGCAGCGTTTGATTGGCCAACAACAGTCATATTGTTGCCGCCAACACCTCCACCGGGCGTGCTGTTGGTAACGACGTTTTTGGTATTGGTATTGCAACCACTTGTAGCACCATTCACAGTTGATTGATTCATATTGTTACTCCCGTTACTATTATTATTGTTACCACCGACACTGCCGCCACCGACCGAGCCCCCAACAGCTCCACTGGCATTGCTGCTGGGCACGCCAACCGAACCGGCAGAATTTGATACGCTGATGGTTCCGCCGTTGCCGCCGCTGCCATTGCCATTCCCATTGCTACTGTTGCTACCACTAGATAGGCTTGTGCCACCAGAGCTACTACCACCGCCAGTGGTACCAGTGCCATTGTTAACGACTGCACTGCCGGCGTTAGTGGTGGACGGAGCTTGTTGTTGTTGTGGCAAATGCTGCAGTATATTCTGCACCTCGTTCTCGCTCGGCGATTCGGCGTAAATCGTTGTGTTCCCAAGCACACAATTGTTGAGCGCCATTTGAGCTTTGTTAGCCTCCTCACGCGTTGCATATTTACATAAGGCAACCCCCTGGTTTAAGTATGGGTGGAAGCTAGCAAGTGGACCATGTTGCAAACACAATGTTCGTAAAGTAGGACCGTCAATCTGTAAATTTAAATAAATACGTATTGTTTATATTAATAATGAAATTCATTTGGGGGTGCATGACCGGTTTTAAACCACATTTCCTGATATATGGATCTATTTAGCTATATATATGTATATATATGTGATTTCTTTTATATTTAGCGGGGTCTGATAAGACACGTTTCAGAATGTAAGAATGTAAGTAAAGAAGAGCATATCTAACATATTTTAACACCGCGAGAACATCAGAGTTAGCAAACTCGCCCCCGGAGTCTTTATACCGATTTTATGATTCCTACTTCAGAATCCACATTTATAGACCTGTGTAATCATGCAGAAATAGATCTTCATCTACCAAACCAAATACGCACTATCTTATCTAATAATTTATGTTATAGCTTAAGCACTGTTTGTATGTTCGTGTGTATAACAGCAAGAATGATTTCTCACATACCTGAGCAGTTAAATTTTTTAGAAGCAACCAACTCGAGTTCCATGAACTGGCGTTGCCAGTCCAAGTTGTGTTAGTGCCCGGTACACTTCGATTTGGCCAGCCGTTGGAATTACCGGTGACTGTAGGAGATGGTGTTGTAGTAGCAGTAACGCCACCCGCTTTATTTGTGCTTAAGCCTGGTGGAGGACCTCTTGATGAGCTTTTATTGAGAGGACTCGTCCAGAGTTCTGAGGTGGCACATTGTTGAGTGTTGTCTGACCAACTAGATATATATATAGAAATGTTAAGATACACTTGATTGATTATATTGTTATATACATATCGATTTAACACATACCTAGGAAAATTTTGGTTTGGATTAAAACTCCACGTTGACGACGATAAACTTAATGGTGGCAGATCAGTCGGTGAGTTCTTACCAGTATTGGCAAAAATATCAGCATCTTTTGGCGTCGGATTGATGGACAATGGAGATCGAGCAACGCTTCCTGGAGTTATACTTGGATCATCTTCAATGCTTTTTATCTGAGAACCCTTAAAAAATCAATTTCTGCTTGGATAGTTATTGGATATAAGAAACCAAATGTACAGTTACCTTCCATGGCTTGCCAGGTTCAAACTCCTGAACCAAGTCGGTATACGCAGCTGCTGTTGGTGCAACTGACCAGTCTTTGTTCTCATTATCAATTGATGGATCTGGCCAACCATCGCCAATATTTCGTCCAGTAGACCAAGTACTATAGAGAGCGCAGTAAATCAAAAGCACGTCAGTTACGCACAGGATAATTAAATAATATTAAATCTCAATTTACCCATCATTTTGTAGACCCAATGGACCCATGTTGCTTGAGTTGCTAGATAAATTTTGTTTGGTTGCACCCGGAGCTCGTGAAAAGTCAGTACTATCTGCTGCAATGGTGTCCTTTTCTAATACTGGAAGCTTCCACTGATTTAAGCGAGACTGCTGATTAGGCGCACCCTGATAGCCACTTGGCTAAAAAATGTATACCAATAGAAAATGATAATTAAATTATTTATATATTTTCAAACGTACCTTATTAAGATTAAGCTCCGGAAAGTTTCCTTGTAGTGAAGCAATTGCATCATGATTTCTTAAATAATCATTTCCAGAATTATTCAAATGTCCGGATTGATGCTGCTGCTGCTGCTGTGAATTTTGTTGCAAATTCTGCTGCTTTATATAAACAGCCTGTTGTGCATTGATTTGGTTTTGTAAATTCTGGATTTGTTGTTTATATTTGGCGATTGCTAAATTGACAACCATTTGATTGGTATTGCCGCCTCTAGAAAGTGATTGCTGTGCTGCTTGAAGATGCTAAATGGCAGAAATGAAATCATTGACATATGATTTTTCACAAGATATATAGTATGATACATTACCTTTATACTGCTGAGTAGTTGATTCAATAAATTTAACGTTGTTTGTGTTAGAGGCTGTGTCAAAATTTGACTGGATATAAAGCCACTGTGTATGGCCAATTGGATTTGCTGACCAAGCATACGAATATGCTGGCCCGATGGTTGATTATTAGCATTTGATGCCATATTGACCGCTGGCGCTGAATTCGGTGGATTTTGGCAGAATCCAACAACTGATGCATTTGATGCGTTTACAGATTGTGGTCCAAGCGGAACGCCATGTGGGGGTCCGCCGCCTTGGTTTAAATATTTTTGCACTTGCAATGCAGCCATATTTGGATTATTGCCACCAGTTACAGCTGTCCCACTTATATTCGTCATAAGATTATTCTGTGACATAGCAAAGATAAGTAAGCAAATATGAAAATAAAAAATATGCATATTCTTTCTTTACCGGAGGGAATGACATTGAAGGTTGTGCTGGATAACGTTGTGGAAATCCACCACTATTCGTAGTATTTGAGTGATCGGCATAGGAACCAAGTACTTCATCGTGACGGCGCCAGCCATCGATTGTCGCCAATGATGAACTTGTATTGGCACGCAACATTTCAGCTGCATCCTCTATATTCATATTGCTACTCAGCAATGCTCGCTCAACGTCTTCCTTTTTAAAGCCATTCTCCACCAAAATTCTATATTGCTTGCTCTGCTTCACAATATCTGTGTTAAGTATACTAACTCCAACATTAATGCCAGCAAGCTTCTGTTGCTGCTGTTGTTGTTGCTGCTGCTGTTGCTGTTGTGCTTTACCAACGATTGCGCCACCATGTGGCCAGTCTGAAGATATATCATTACCTTCGACATTGCCGCCAACTGTGTTTGGATTGCTCCAGCTAGATGAGGCGCCACCTGCTGTTGATAATTTGTTTTGTTTATTGCCCCATCCCACGCCACCAGACGGGGAGTCGCTCCAAGATGTTGAATTTCCGCCAATTTGAGCAAGTGAACTGTTCTGCTTATCATCAACCCAATTGGTGCCGCCGACAGAACCACCACCAGCACCAACGACACCAACATTGTGACTATCATCGCCCCAGGAGCTGACTTGTTGAGCATTTCGGCCTCCACCGGCAGCTCCACTATTATTTGGATGCACCCACATGGCACCAGAATCCGGTTTTCCATGCTGTCCACTAACTCCAACTGCTCCACCTGGTCCGGATGTGTTTGACAATCGGGACTGTGGCCCAACGACTCCAGCCATTGTGTTATTTGGATTCCCAACACCACCGGGCACATTACTACTGCCAACAATTTGGCTCGATGGATTTGTGGAACGCATCAAGTGACTGCGGCTCATCGAGTCCGTCATATCCTTCCAGTGGGCACCGCTGCCTGGTAAACGCGTCTGTTGTCCCCATAGTGAAGTCCCGTCATCATAATTGGGTATATTTCGTCGTTGTGGTGGCGGGGATGGTTCCTCCCATCCTGTTATTTGCTTCGCTAAGTCCTTAGGAACTCCAACACCAACACTACCACCGCCGACGCCAACGACAGGTTGTGGCGCGGCACCCCATTGTGCTCCAATGTTACTTGAGATGGAGCCAACGCCAGCTGGACCAATATTTGAATTTGTAATATTTGCTCCAGCAGCGCCTACAACAGGCCCAACCAGCTTGTTGATATTTTGAATTGGATTGTGGGCAATCTGTGGATGATGGCCCCACATTTCGGATGTACCATTTAAACGACCCGATATACCACGCGGATCGCCGCGTATCGGATCCCTTGGGTCAATCATACGTAAATCCCTTGGATCGCCAGTTGGCGCGCCAACCCCACGTATTGTTATCGGGTCACGCGGATCGACGTTTCGAATGTCAATTGGGCCACCGCCCCCAGCTCCGGCTAACGGTCGCATATCCCGAGGATCTCCCCAGCCATTGCCAGTATTACCAACATTAGCGCCAGCTCCTCCTCCAACAGCTCCAGTGCCACTTAAATTATTTCCGTTACTTCCACCTATTACAATACATTAATATATATTAATAAGCTTTCCTTATCTAAACCAACGCATGAGAAAAAATTGTAAGTTGAAAAAACAAACCAGAAAGGACTATGGAGTATCCAAGAAGTATATACTATGACCCTTCTCAGACCTGCTCCTCTAGCAATACTACGTTTCCTTTATACATGTATGACGTTTACTTTATTAAACCAATTTTTCTAGACGAACTTGAATCATTTAACATCGCGATATATGTAGAAAAGCTAGAAATTAGTCAGAAAAGCTAACTGAAATCCTTTATTTTGAAATTTGAAATAAATTACGGTTCTCAATGAATTGAGTGTATAACAAGCGAGTGCTCGAGTCAAGTCTGCTTGTCTACTAGACCCCGTAAACCCTTCGAAGAACCGACACTCCATTTATATGTTCCTTAAGTACAGAAATCGAACTTGATCTATTGAAAATGGATACACCTCGCATTTATTGTATAAAAAGTAAGTTAATTGTTATCGATGCTGGAAATGACTCAATAATGACTATTTGAAAGCCACTTTAATTTTATTTTCATTTAAACCGACATCCGTTTGGGTATTGCTTTGAAAGATATAATCATACTTACATCCAGGTGCGACAACAGGCAGTGCGCCAGTTGTTGGCACAGTATTGTTTCCAGATGTATTTAAGGGAACTCCAACACCCACTCCAACTCCGACGCCTTGCCCCCACTGAGGCCCCGTTGATGATCCAACTCCCGGGACGTTGGCGCCCACAGGAACATTGGATGCTGCACTATTCGATGATTGACCAGTCCAAACGCTTGTGCTATCTGTACCATCATCATCCTCACCCCAAGTACCACCCAAATTGGACGACGGCGTGTGGCCCCATGATGGCTTTGGCACTTGTTGAGTAGGTGGCTGGCCTCCGTTTCTTAAATTCGATTCCCATAAATCGGTGCCATTGTTAATGTTCGGCTTCCACATCGATGGCACTGATGGATCTTTATTAGCCGGCTCCGGTGAACTGGGTACCTCCCAATTGGTATCCTGATTAACATGCTGGCATCCCCAGCCATCCTGTGAGAAAAGCGCCTCGCGCATTGTGTTCAATTTTTTTAATTGATATTTAGCTGGAGTAGCATGTGGCGCATTCCTATAATTTTCACACCCAGTCTTGACTATATTTGTATTAGCATTGTCATCATCGTCATTGTCATTAAATGAACTTTTACAACTGTTGGTAATAATCTTGTTTTCAATAGTTAAACTATAACTATACTTGCTTCTTTATAATAGATATACATGCACATATACATATACATATTCATATATATATGTATACATATATGTATATATGCACTGCTTCCGAAACACTGATCGCGGTTGACGTTGCCTGGAATATTTGAAAATTAATTTAATGTTTTAAAACTAAATGGATATATTTCCTTAATAGCTCTGGAATATGCGACATTAATTAGTACACAAATCAAATACTTCGGGTCATATATGATAACATGTTATATTCTTTACCCTATACATTTACATATGCTTAAACTCATGTTATTAATTTTGTCAGTATGCCGAGCACTTTTGGTTTAAAGCAAAACATATTTACACTTCAGCAGAAAAGTATACATAGTGTAATCATAGAAATATGCATGTGTGTGTGCATTTGTCCGAATGTAATAAACATACTTGACAACTCTGGTCAGTAGTCATTGACGCAATCACCCTATTTTAACTCTGTACTTTTGTTCACACATACATTTGCAGATACACAAAAAACATACAAAAACGCACAAGCCAACTCACATATATATGTTACGCACAAGGAATCAATAAATGCTATAACACACAGACGCATAAATACGTTTTTTATACAGATTTCCTTGATGCATTTGATCAAATCAATCAAAATGTATACGGATAGTAATCGCGTTTAAAATATTTTCTATACAATATTCAAAGATCAGACAAAGTGTGTATGCCCAAATTCTCATTTGACTACTTTTCACCTATTGTACTTTTAAAGACACAATGCTAGGGTATATTAATTAAATGTTAAGTTTTTATTTTTTCATTTATCGATTAAAATTTTATTTTCTGCACATATACATATGTAGTTAAGTATGTGTATAAAAAGACAGATACACACATACATTTGCATGTGTTTGTATTAAAAAAGCCAAGCCACTTCAATTTCACAAAGTATGTACATACATACAAATGTACAATTTTTGATGAACATCTGCATGCGAAATTAAAATTCTGCTGCACACAAATTTCACGATATTTCGAATAGACAAATTAAGTTACACTTTATGATAATTTTTTGTTTAGCACAATTCAACTAGGATATAATAGAAATAAAATCATTGAATACTGCTTCAACTAGGAAAATTACTTTTTCGATGAGAAAATTATCAAACCACACGCTGGGACGGGACAATTTACTACTGCATAAATGGCTGCTCGCGCAATGTTGCCACCTAGCTCATTTTTATAAAAGCCGATATTGGATATACAATACACATTTATAGATATTCCATACATCAGGTCAATTAATCCTGTATAAATATTTAAATAATATTCAATAATTAAAATAGTACGTCGACATTGTCATACGCATTATTAAATTTATTTTTCTTATATAAAATAATTAAAACGTGGCAACTCTTTATTGAACTTCCACCTATTTCTTTCTAACTTACGAACGTGAAAGAGAAGAAACTATATGCATACTTTTTTATGTATATACATGTGTTATACTTGAGTTATTAATGAGGATTTGCGGTTATGCATGCTAAAAGATATTTTCTTACGTATTATGAGCACAGTCTTAAAACACTCTCTTGAGCTCCAGGTCTTCTAACTATATTGTTAAAATTGATTTCGTTTGCACTTTTTACCTTTCCGAAAACGCACTTTACCGATCGTTGCTCTCGCTCACTCTTTTCTTTGAATATGTGTGACCATTAGTGGTGAATGTGAGAATACCAAAAATAAGCAATGTAACGTAACGCCATAAAGCTACGGACATTGCGCATCCTAAAAATAAAGTAACGTATATGGGACTTTGAAGGAAATACGTATCTATAGCTGCATAAAATATTATTGCCTACAATTTAAGAAACTTTACACTCTTCACACATATACTTAACAATAAATTGTACACTTAAAAAAAAAATTATCATAAAAACTACAAATATTTAAAATAATTGTCATAAAAGCCACAAATAAAAATACAAAAACTTGAAGAAATCAATTCTGTTAATTACGCATACGTATGTTAACATAATAGACTATTCGCACTATATTTAAAGTTTGCGTTTTTTTAAGTTTTATTAAGGTTGTACGTCTTGAAATTAAATTACAAAAAAAAAAAAAAAATCGGAAAATAATATAAAATACAGTAGTAGTAAAATACAAAATACATATGAGTCTACATTTAAAATTTTGTGACTCTAGCTTTCAAGATATGGCAGATATAATTATACCCTGAACCCAAAACCCATTGAAAATGGGAAATGACAATATAATAGTTTTGTTAAAATGTATGTAACAGGCAGAAGAAGGTATGGCAGACCCCACAAAGTTGATTTGAACCTGTCCGTCTGAACGCGTCGATCTCAGAAGATATAAAAGCTAGAGACTTGAAGTTTTTTAGAATCTCCATTATATCGCGCGGTTAGCGAGTTTTATTGAAATTTATCCCCGATGCGTTCAAACATATTGGACAGACTGGACTACATCGACTCAGCTCGTGGCTCTGATCAATATATTTACTTTGTATGTCTGCCACGCCTCCTTCTGCCTGTTACATACATTTAAAGAAAACCACAAATAAGAGCAAAACCATAATATTTTTCACTACCAGTGGAGCCCCTAAACAGACATATTGTAGATGAAATTATCTATGTATGTTTATATTTTACATCGGAATAGATCTTATTATAATAAGAAGCACAAACTGATCTTTATTGTTTCTTTTATTGAATTTTCGGTTCCTTTATGTTTGTAAAAATGAATGATGCTACGAATAAATACATGGGTATGCAATGTATAAATAATACTTGTTAAGTCCAAAACCTTAACCTTAAGATTTAAATCAATCTACAATATGTATATGTAATATTTCATGCATAAATATGTATGCGCGCATATGTTTACAAGTGCTAATATATTAACAAAATTAAAATTTCAGCCTCAAGATTTACAAGGCATATGTATGCGTGTATATGTGTATTTATGTATGTCTAACTGAAAGAATATTGGAATATTGGAATACTTTAGTTTTTTCTCATTTTTGTGTTTAAAGTTTTTTTTTTTTCTTTTCATTTTCATTTGGACGTTATATATATACATATATATATATATATGCGCATACCTGTTAAATGAATGCTGTGGGCTGCGTAGTTCCATTACATTGAGAGAAACATAAACGCGTAGGTCTTATCTCATAAACAGTATATTTGAATTCTAACCATTATCATAATCAATGGCAAAATATCATATTCAATGGAAAAATATAAACATGTTAACAGAACCAGCCTATTTTGCATAGCAATTTGAAAAAATTGCAAAATTTCCGTAAGCTGCCTTATAGATATATGCATATTAACTTATAGTTAATAAACTACAAAATGTACCTTACTATATATGTATATACTCCTTTTTTTGTCTTGGATCATTTGTTTTGTATATGAAACACAACTTTAAGGTTATGACTCTGCAATCTCAACTGTGTTAATGTTATAAATGTATATATGCCGAGTCAAAACCTTGTGTTATTATCTTTTTATGTCATGAATCATACATTTAGTAAAATTTTGACTCTGCAATTACAACTGAGTTTATACTATACTTTATAAAACTCAAATATTAATAAATGAATATGATTATATTATTGTATCCAGCTGCCGTGCTTGATGTAAGATCTTTTTTTGATGCCCTACTAAGGTTATACCCATATCCGATAGCAATTGAGCTGTTAATCTTGAGATCTATAAATATAAAATTAATAAGTATTGAACAGAACGTGGGAATGCGTTACAAAGGAGCACAATAGACGTACCTGTTGAGCACTCACTAAATTAGCCTCTCTAAAGTGTTGACTGTATCTAGACATTTTGATATTCTCCAGCCATAGGTCAGTGCTTATAAATATGTTATGACCGCGTTGTGTCTCCAAAATATGTGTACTACTATCATTTTCTGGTGAATTTCGCGTCGTTAACAACGATTGCGGCTGCCTAGCCAAGTTGTCTAAAGTAGACACAATGCTGGCAAAAGTGGGGCGATGTGTTCGTTGCTTTTGCCAGCAATCCAGCATTAGCTGATATAATGCCTCTGGGCAATCCATTGGCGCTGGTAAACGATAGCCTTTCTCAATGCTCTTTATGACATCCTAATTGGAAACAATTTATAGATTCATCATTTTAATCAGTCATTTATAGAGACAATTTACTTTCCGCTTACTTGATTCGACCAATTCCAATAGGGACGTTCGCCATAAGACATCACTTCCCATAAAACGACTCCATAAGACCAAACGTCCGATGCTGATGTAAATTTACGAAAAGCAATTGCTTCCGGCGCGGTCCAACGTACTGGTATTTTGCCTCCCTGTTAAGTAAACGAGAGGAACTAAATTAGGAAAGCCCGACTAGCCATGGATGGTTTGAACTTAGGTTTGACCTAACTTAGTCGTTGTTAGAATATGACAATGAAGGCGACAAACTATATGTGATGTACGCAGATGGACTTAATCATTTGACTTGACCATTGAAAATGGTAAATCAGGGCATAATGGTTTTGTGAAAGGTATGTAACGGGCAGAAGTAATCGTCGCAGGCCTCATAAAGTATATACAATATATTCTTGATCAGCACGAAGAGCTGAGTCGATATAGCGCTGTCCGTCTGTCCATCCGTCCGTATGAGTGCGTCGATCTCAGAAGTTATAAGAGCTGAAATTGGGCACGCATACTAGTTTGTAGCATACGCAGTATAAGTGTATATTTTTCCGATAACTTTTTATCGAGAAAAATCGAAAAATTGATATTGTTTTTCAGCCTTATTTGAACACTTTTAGACCTGGAGACTTTTGATTTACTGTGTATATACACAAAATAAATACCAATACTTACAGATTTTGGAGGGACTTTTTCAGGTAGAAGTAAAACGTAGTTAGAAGTAAAACGCACTTCTACCGATCGTTGCTCTCGCTCACTCTTTTCTTTGAATACAAAGTAAATATATTGATCAGAGCCAC